ATAGCGAGTATGTTATCGCTGAGCGTTTTGTTTCTTTTTTTTTTTTTTTTATTTAACATTCAAGTTCCTTTTTACGAGCGCGAAATTATAAATTTTTTTTCCTCGATGTCGCGCCATTTCGATGTCCATTTTTTGGCTGTAAAGTCAATTAGCGGAACAATCGGGTCCTCGCGCGCGGAAAAAAGTAGTGTAAGTCAGTAATTAGTCAGCCGCGTTTTAGAGAGCGTAGCACGTGATTATTTCTGCGTGATGTAAAATTTTCAATCTATCTCTTTAAAGCGCGGAAAAACGTACTACGGTAAAGTAGCTGCGTTCTCTCTCTCTCTCTCTCTCTCTCTCTCTCTCTCTCTTTCCGACGAGTGCTTTCACAAGCCATTTTGTTCGTGAAAATGAGGGAATATGATTTATACCGTTCTTTCACGAGAGAGCGTAGTTCACGGCGGCGGCGGCAGCGGCGGCGGCATCGAAAAACGGACTCGACTGCAATCGCGCACCTTGAGACCGGCTGTATGAAAACACAAGTCGGGAGTACGAATATTCCGTTAACAGCCGTTAATTGTCTTTGCTCGGGAGTGCAACGCGGCGATGCAATTAGCGAGTTCCTTCGGCGCGCGTCTTTGACTGTGACTCATTAGAATAATCAGTTGAGAGTTAATTTTCAGACATCATTTTCCCGGTCCGGCATTGAACAAACGTTTCTCCCCGTCCGTCTCGCGGTTCGTTTTCTTCCTCGTTCAAGCAATTTGCCGTTTGTAAGCGAAAAAAAAAAAAAAAAACTTCCTTTCCGATCGCGCGATGACACATCTCTCGTCTGATTTCTTGAGAGAAATTCGCGCTCTCTTTCTCGTTCTGATACGTCTTACATCTTCGTGCCATTTCACGCGTCAGTGCGCACGTCTGCTTGCTACTTTACGGTGTGGCGGCTGTGATGCGTCGTTGCGTCCTGAGACACGTCACAAGGACGACAATTAAGCGTAGATACAGTGAGAGAGAGAGAGAGAGAGAGAAACAGAGAGACAGAGAGAAAGAGAAAGACAGAGAGACAGAGAGAGAGAGAGGAATTCATCCTTTGACGCGGTGTCAATTCCCGCCTCGAATCAACCGATTCCATTTTCCGCTGAACGACCGCCGGGAATCAACTCCGTCTCGCTGTGAAGCACGCCTTGAGTTAATTTGCTTAGTCATTTTAGTGGCACAGAGTACCTTAAGCAATTACCGTGCGGAATTATTGTCGTAATTATTGCTAAGATAATTGCAGAACTTAGATAATTTAATCCAACTTTGGTGATTAGTCTTTGTTGATCAATATCAACTGCGAGCATATTCTCGTCGACTTTATTAATTTCACGACTCGAAATCAATTTGCTCAAACGATCTCACATTAACACGATTGAAAAAAAAATCAAAAAAAAAAAAAAAAAACAAAGACATCATGACTTTATTACAATTATTAATTATCCCGCTCCATTCGAAATCGCGCCGCTTTGTGAAAACGCGCACCGCATTTCTTTCGGCCGTTTTTTCGCGGTTCTTTCACCACGGAGAAATCATTGAGCCATCAAGTGTTGCGGTAGGACAAAGGAAAGGCGACGCGCGCGGGGAAGTGGAACGGCTAATTAAGTATCGACCTGCTGACAGGAGTAACAGAGTAATACATAATTACGATGTATTCTTCGGGATACCCGCTCGGGGAGAGCTTTTTGCTCCCTCTCTCTCTCTCTCTCTCTCTCTTCTCCTCACAGGTTTTCCTAACACGTGGCGAAGACTAATCAATTTTCCATTCACCGGCAGCCGCTGATGGATGACTTACGATCACGCCGGGGTTTTAATAAATCAACATCCGTCGTTGCTATACCGGGCCTGTCATCAGTCTTCTTAGGGGTTGACCTCGGCGAAGAAGAGAGAGAGAGAGAGAGAAAGAGAAGGATGAACGGCGGGGCGATAGGCGCAAAATCGCTCGTCGCTGTCCGCGGCGCGAACAAACGCGTTCACCGATGTCGAGCGTGTCGCTCGGGGATCGATCTATCGTCGGAACAGGGAAGAGACCGAGCGAGGGATGCCACCTCCTTCCTCCCTCCCCCCCGATCGCGAGGGATGATTTTCTTTCGATACGAGATAGTAACGAGAAATCAGACCGACCGACACACAGCTTGCGGAGAGTTATATATAAATGAGGACGCACAATAACTAAAAGAGAGAGATTTAATATATCTCAGAAAATCATGAAATGGTCTTTATGCTTTCTTTATAGCATCGAGGCTGTAATATCCTGCGATATATCTGACCCTCCTCGTAAATTTCCGCGGGAGAAAATACAACGGACGTACGTACGGACGGACGGGAAACGCGCGCAAGAGCGATATACGTCGCTCTTCTTTCTTTTCTCTCTTATTAACGGCTTTTTTCTTCTTTCGCCGGACGATGATGATGGAAGGAGATAACGGAAATTTCCCGGGCTATTGATTCGTATCGATAATGTAACGTCGGGGGTGATAATTGCGCGCCGTGCATCATCGGCCGGGATAATAACCGGAAAGTGATCAAATCAAATCCGACATTTTTCTGCGAACTCTCGATCGTGAAAGAGGCGGACGTTTAAGAGAGATGAGGGGAAATAAACATACGTAATATTTGCGAAGAACACATACATCTGTAACGGGAAGCTCCGCTTCCGACGACGTATAAGTATTTTTCGGAAATTTGTTGCGAGAGGTGTGTACTTTTTCCGTTCTTTTTAACAATAACAATAACAATAATAATAATAATAACAATCGCTTTCGATATCTAGAATGCGGAATGTGCAGGGCGCGTTTGTTATTTCACATTTTCGAAATTCTGACGACACTTGCAGATTTTTTGTCCGATTTCTCCCGTGGAATTCGCGATAATAATTAAATCGCGGTTCATTTCACTTTAAAAGCCGATTTCTAAAGGCCCGTACGGTATTACCGCCATGAAGGGACAAACGTCGGGTGTGGCTTATCTGAACGGACGAGCGGTTTCACCGGAATTTGCTTGCAACCGCTTGCAGCCGCAGTGCACGCTGGTTCAGCATGTTAAAGTCGCGTATATAGTAATTACTTAACGAAGTAAATACGATTTCACACGCGCGCACATCCTCCCCCACCTCCCGGAAAGAAACGGTTTTTCAACCGCCGAATTAAAAGAATTTTTTTTTTTTTACAAAATTATCAAAAAACGTACATTGTTTTTTAAGGTTTGTTGTCTCAAAGAAAAAGCGTCGCGGTAATTTTATTTTTTTCCAGGTAATCTACTTGTAATTTCGATCAACTGTGTGTGTAACAAACTTCTGTGCGTAAAAAATCTGAAATGAAAATGTACATACACGGCTACATATACATGATTTACGCGGTTGATAACAAAAATCAATGTTTCGAAATGCATCGAAACACGGTTTTTCAGAGGCAAAATGTGTGTATCAATTATGCGCAAGCTTTTACATTAAGCTCAAAAAGCTCTCGTTTCGATGTATCTTTGTGTTCTACTTGTTTTTTCAAAATTAAAAATTTGCTGATCCATTGTTATTATCATCTCTTATTTTATTATACGTATATCGACATTATTATCAATTTTGTGCTAAACGCATAAAAACGCAACTCAATTCCCTGTAATAAAAAACATTTAATTATATTTACTATTGTGTGTTCAAAAATCACTTCGCCTCCTGTCTAAATCAAGCAATTTAGCTTTCGATTCGTACGCGCGTATCGTTCCTTCAAACTAAAATATAATCTACCGAAGAACATTTGCATATTCTGATACAACCTCTCCGTGTTAAAATACATCATTAATTACTTCGAAACTATTACACGCCATTAATGTCGCGATAAAATTATTCTATCGGCTATGTATTACGCCGAAATCACTTCTCGTCTCTGACCACTAATTTCGCTATCGATTAATACCACCCGCCTTCTATCGATCGTTGAATTTAAGCGGCGGGAGTGCCGGAGTACTAAGACGTCTAACGTGAGTACATAATGGGGCAAGTACGTGGCGCGTAGTACGTGCCACGTAGCCGGGCTTATCAGAAGCGCACAGAGGGGATGCTCAGGATAGTCAAGGCTTATCGACTCACCGACTTGACAGGCTTCTCTACGTCCTTTCCCTACCTAGTAGGTGGAGCGTCGAAAGATGATGAGCGCCGATCGAAGGACCCTGGGGTCTTTCAGCGGATCTCACGGGGAACCCCGTGCTCGCTAAGCCCCATACGAAGTCGTTGATGCGTCAGTAGGGAGGGGTAGTAAGAGAAGATAGCGCAGTCGGGGTTGCTGCGCTGACCGCGATATTACGTGCTTAAGAAACTCGTGTGGTCTCGTTCCCTGTCCCCTTTCCGATAAGAGGACACAACGGTAAACAGAGTTTCTCAACGGGCGGTCTCTCCCTTTTTGTACATATAGACGGCTTAACGCGAGCAAATATATTCCGCATCACGGCGGATCGGAAAAATTGGGGGAGAGGAGGAAGAATTAATCGGTCAAATATAAAGAGGATCGCGTTTGACCCGACTAATCCTTCTTACGGGCGCGCTCGCGCTTTATCGGATCGAGAGCTAAGTTTAGGTGACTATATATAATATCGCGCTACTTGCAAAAAGAGATTTAAAGTCTTTACGGAAATGAAGACTATATTGTAGTCAGCGAAAAAGCTTTAGCTTATTCGAGCGTCCCGATAACAGAAAAAATTTGGCGTTAAAAGTATATGTATTTTGAAAATTGATTTAAAAATATATTTTTTTTGCTTATCGAATGTGCAGGATATGATTTTTGGGAATAAAAATTTTTGTGGAAAAGAAATTTCGAAAAAATTCGTAAAATTGTGAAGATCTCTCGAAGAATATTGTCGAGTGCTTCTCTCCGCCGTGGTTATATTATCGTATTTATCACGTACGTGTCATGCTCACGATTCATGTACGTCGCGAATATCGATGTAAACGGACGAGAAGAATATGAATGACAGAATTAGGATGTGCTACTCACAGGTTGTAGTGCACATCTGCCATGTTCGGTCGATAGCGAAGCGCTTGGACGAATGCTTCTTCCGCCTCCGCCACTCGTCCCTGCTCGCTGAGAATGCTCCCCAAGTTGCCATACGCTGGAAACACAAAAAATACATTTAAGAAAATAATTTTTTTCGAATTTCTACAAATACGTTGCGCATTGTTAACAAAAAAATTGCAATACAATAAGCGTTAAAAAAACATTAAAAGCAACAGATATTAAGAGACCAATCAATATTTATATAAACGCGAGAAATATTATTGCAATATTTACTTAGGTATATGTAAAATATTGTTGAAAGTTTTATTTAAATTATATTTATTTATCATATTTAAATTATATTGTATTACGTTTATTATTTGAAAAAACAATTATAAATATGTTTGGAGTACGGTTGAGTGATAAAAAAACAAAAAAAAACAAAAAATAGAAAATTGCAAACCACAATTTCTATATGGAAAACGATGCAAACGAAGGTAATTGTTAATGGATGGCACGATGTACAGGTGTGAAATACGTCTTACGCTTTCAGTGTTAATTATTATCCTAGCGGCAATTACTTGAAAATTATCACGATCAAGATAACGCCCGCTGCCCGTCCGCCTATCATTTCACTGCTTACGTGCTCGCTCGCGGCTTGTAGTTGAATATTCAACTCGTTAAATGATCAGCAGGAAGTACCCGGGGAACATGGTAACATGCTGCGCTCACGCACACCGCACCTATATATAATACATCACTTTCCAGACATAAAGGCTAATATTTTCGTCGTTATTCCACTTTCAGCGCCATTATGCGATATTTGGAGAGCAGTTTGCGCGAAGAACCAATTCAGTCGCTCGCTTGAACGCGATACTCTCGGTCTGATAATATTCAAAGCGCACATGAAATGCTCACTTCAGAATTGTACGTTTGCGTATGAATATTGTTATCAATCTAAGATTACAGTTTTTTTTTTTTTTTTAATACAAAAGTTAATAAAATGTATATTTTATACAACAACAGTGTTTCTCTTAATAACATCAGTTAAGCCGGGGAAAGAGAATCCAAAAATCGCGAAATAATTCTATTTTTCTTTCTCGCTCGCATCATTTTGGACAGATACATCTCAATGATTGACATATCAACGATCGTCCCCTCAGAAACCACACATACAGTTTGTAGAAAAAATCGATGCTGAAGCGTGAGCTAACGCCGCCCCCCAGACAGGTATACAGTCGCTATATGCGCTTTAAATCAACGAGAGCGGACGTCAGCTCGATGGCAGAGTGACTCCGGTGATTTCGGTAGAGGAAAGGGAATGCGTACATACACCCCTCGTGCTGCAGACTGTTGAACGCAACAGGGGAAAGAGAAAGAGTAGGGATGAGAACGACAGCGCGGATGCGAATATGCGCGCGCGCACACATCGGCGCAACCTGACCAACAAAATGTAAATTTATTTCTCGTTGCGGCAGCAGCCTGTTTAACACGGTAACACGCAATTTCTGTCGACGCAATTAAAACGCGCGCTGTGACGTCGCCGCTGGCGTCCCGGCGCGTTGTTGTGTCGACGTCAGCTCGCGTGACTCTATCCGCCCGGACTCTCTCTTTCTTCTTCCTGCATTCTCGCTTTGCGAGAATATGTACAAAAATGGACAGCGTGAGATTGGGCGAGAATAGAAAGCCGTGGAGATGAAAGAAAGGACGGGATTGTTTCGCGGGAAACGACGAACAGGCGCGTAAAATTAAGGCGGAGGAAGGCTGTTGATTAAAAAAAAAAAGCATAAAGTCTCTCGATCAAGAGCTCGATAAATACACGCGACTCTCTCTCTCTCTCGTGTTTGTGTGGCCAAATTTGTGTGGAGAGAACTCTTTTGAAAATTCTAATGAAAATTATTACAATTGACGATCATTGGGAGATCGATTCTCGGTCTCAATTTACAAATTGAGACGTGCGATAAAAACCGAGGTCAACGGAAAACATGTCTAACTTTAGATCTTGAAATTCGAGCCAAACGCGCATCGATAATAAAAGCTGGGGGGAGCGAGATAATCTTAAAATAACGTAACACACGCGCGGTCGATGACGTGGAACAGATGCGCAGCGCTGATGTGCGGCGCAATTAATACAAACTACTGTCCGGTAGATTAAATCGCGCAATCAATCGTTAGATTATCATGAAAGTAAATGGGGCGGATAGGCTGTAAAAAGTGGCAAAGACGGATGGGCGTTTTCGGACGAGAGAGACGCATGTGAAGGAAGAATCGAGTAACTTATATATATATATAATACACACACACACACACACACATCGTCACATGCTCTATATCTCGTTTAAAAACGAAATATCCATTCAACCTACTCTTTTTCCGCTTCGAAAATTCCTTAAAAATACTGTATTTCTTGCGCGCTTCCTAGCGGTGGATCTTTAACGAACGAAACGGTAAAACGAGAAACGGCATAACTGTTTTTGTCGTATCAAAATGCTGTGTGTGCGTGGGTAGATTGCGAGAATGTAAGCAATAGTCGTGAAAAGTAAATTAATAACGGATACACACGTCTCTCTTTACGGTTACGGTCGCGCGCGCGCGCGCGCGTTGTGTGTCGCGCGCGTGTATGAAACGCGTTAACGGAGAAACGAAACAAAAATTTCCCGCCGGCCGCGGGCGCGAGAAAACACGGCCAGGGCCGTTGCCGCCGCCTGGGACTATAAGTTAAAATAATTACGAAAAAGTACACCGTGGAGGATAAGCGCCGTATGAAAGTGGATAAAAGCGGGGAAAAAGGGTCGGAGCGGATTAGAAGGGGTGTATTAAAGGGAGGACCCCCGTCGGAGGGGAAATGAAAAACCAGCGTATGTTCTTAACGCGCGCGCACGTAAGACATTTCCGTCGGATAGATTAAAAATATGAAAGATATACACAAAGCGCGGAGATGAAAGCAAAAAGGAAAAAAAAATATGAATGATTCTCTTTTGGTTTGCAGAACACGCGGAATATGTACAAAGTGATCTGAAAAATAATTCTATGCGTGTGTATTTTTTGTGAAAATAATTCGACTTTACTAGAATCTTTTTTTTTTTTTTTTTTTTTAATAGTATGTGTATTGCGATAATATTTTTTAATATACATTTGTTTATAAATGTTTTTTTTCTCTCATAAAGATCATACTATTACCAAAAATCGAGATAACTCGCACACACGCACACACACACGGATAAAAGCCTTTTGTATCGAAATCTTTTTAATTCTATTTACGGAGGCAGATTTTCGCGTTTATTATACGTTGTATCCGCGAGTTAAAATATACGATATATAACTCTTTCATTAAACTCTGTTACAATATACACAAGACCCGAAAAATTAAAGTCGCTCGCAACCGGGAGGGAGAATAAAAGGGAAGACAAAGCGCGGCAAAAGCAGAAAGCGACAGAGGGGGAGAGAGGCAGACTCTCGTTTCTCGTTGCATGCCGTGTTTTCATCTTCTCGACGATTTTATGGACACGGTAGGCACATAGTTGCCTGTGTCGACCTGCAAGATGAACAGACGGGATAGCACACGCTCGCCCGTTGGCACAATGGCTTCGACGTTATAACGAGAAAGCAGGCGCGGCGTATGATATCCGTCGGTCGCTTGGTGAATTTCATTTTTATACACAGCCGTATATTTTGTGGCGACGCGTCTATCGATCAACGCGCGCAATGGCTTTTCATTATTAACGCGCGCGTTTTTGTTTGTTTTTTTTTTTTTTTATTTTTTTTATGTATTTAATCCGTTAAGAGGAAGAAAGAGATACGTGTAACGTACGACGGTTGTCACCCCCTTTTTTTTACGATCTGCGCGTATAAAGAAAGACGTTCCCGTGGATATTACACGCGTTTGAAGGGCTTTGTAGTTGCCGACGGGATGAACACAGCTGATAAAAATGTCATATGTCGGCACCGACGATGCTTCCGCGAGATAAGGAACTGCATGATGAGTGATAAAAAGAGCGAGAGAGAGAGAGAGAGAGAGAGTCGTTAAAAAACTAAATATTATTCAACGAAAACACAGTTGCAAAAATAACTACTCGATGAAAACAAAGTTAAGCACATTTAAATACTTGTTTACTCATTATTCTTTTTTTTTTATTACACATATCATTTTGCGTTTTACACAGAGTTCTTCAAAACAAAAACTCCCATGTGTTCAAATTCGCGATACGTATTTAGAGTTTTGATATTTTTTACATTTATAAGTTTATACAGTAATATATTGGTAAATCTATATTATATATTTTCTCGTTTCGAATTCCACGGTCGGAAAATATTATCGAAATATTAAAATATATGCAGATATAAATCACGTTAAACAAAAAAAAAAAAAAGAAAATAATCTCTTGTGATTATAAATAAATAATTTAACGAACTTGATTTTTCGATGTTTTCTTGTATAAACTTTAATTGCGAATAGATAATATTTATATTTTGACTGATCTTACCTTTTGGCGGATTCACGTGCAGCGCGGATCTGTACAAGCTCTCCTCGTTTCTCCAGTCGGCGTTTCGCACGATCGTCTTCGCCGACATCACGCCGATGAGGATCACCGTGGCCAGCAGCACCGCCCTGCCGCACCTTCTGAACCCGTTTCTCCTCGCTATCCGATAGCAGCCGGACACCGCGGCGCCAACGACCAGGCAGGCGCCCACGCTCGGCAGGTACAATATCCTCTCGGCTATGACGAAGCCCACGTAGAAGAAGAGATTGCTCGCCGGCAGAAACGGGAGCACGAGGAAGCCCAAGGATATCGCGACGGTGGTGGCCGCCGCGTGCCGACCGTTCAAGCCGTTCGCGCCCGCGCCACCGTTCGGTCTCTTGGCACAATGACAATCGCCGAGTGGACTGTTGTTGTTGTTGTTGGCCGCTCTGCAGCCGTCTGTGTGGCAGCCGCCGGTTCGTCTACCGGCGCAAACCGGACACCTGGACGAAGCCGAGCGCGGATACGCTTGCAACATAGTCGTCGTCGGGTCGCGACAGGGTCGTCTTAGACCTTTCACCGCCCAGACGGCGGCGCCGATCAGCGCGGTGTAAAGACACACCGATTCCAAATTTCGCGTGTCCAACGGACTCGTGATGCGCGGCACAGCGTCCATCGACCAATCGAAGCTCAGCGTTGTCGGACACAGCAACATTCTCGCGCTCGCCGCCGGTAGATACAGGAACGTCAGGCCGCGCGTCAGCCGCGACGGATGCCTGGCTGTCGGATTGTCCGCGCTCGCGAACTCCGGCCTGCTGCCCGCGAGCCTGAGCCGACCCAGAGCGAGTAGAGCCAAACCGCCCGACAGAATGCCGACGCTGCGACCCCGAGTAAATCCGCAGTTGCTCTGAAATTCAACGGTTGACAGGTATGGCATTACTCGTATAGTTTCCGGCAACGGCTACGTGTTGTAGCGCGGTCATCGTGGGTCGTGATGACCGCGTCGTGCTTGGAGCTTGTCCAAACTGGGTCACCACGTTGCGCGAACAGACGTATTATATACGTATATACATACATTTGTCAAATTTCACTGTGTGTTTATTTCAATTATTTTTTGCGTTTAAATTATTCGCAAAGTCGAAATTAAAAGATGACGATTTCGATGAAATAGAATAAATAAACAAACAAATTCAAAATCGAACAAATTACAAATCCGCGATAATTGCCGTTATCGAAACAAATTTTCGCGGTTTATGTAGACGTAAACATTGAAAACATACAACGTATGTTTGCGCGCGTAAAATAAGAATTTGTTCTTTATGCCTTATGAACTTTACGAGTATATCTAGGTCGGCTCGTAACATTTTTCTCGCCGCCGTTAATAAAGAGAATGGCGTCATAGATTTAAAATATCCAACAAAAAGAGAGATAGCATGCACGCGGCATACATTACGTTATATATACGATACACCACACAACACACACACACATAAACACATATGTACGTGCGCGAGCTTCGCAGGTATATGTAACAGAAATAATAAAAGTGTACCGTAGAAATGCATTACGCGGTATCTCGCGGGGAAATGCGATGCCGTAATAACGCGACGGTGTTCTTGTTGTCAGTTCATCGAGTATACGTTGTTTCCGCATTGCTACGCCGCATTGCTACTCGGCACTCTTTTTTCCGATGAATAAACAGAACGAAGAAAAGGGAGCGAATTGGGTAGTACGAAAGCTTTCACAGTCGTCGAGACGCGATGTTTGCCTCGGCGAGCGCAACATCGCATCCGACCGGAAGATAGTTTCGGTCGGATGGAAAGGAGAGAAAATCGTTTGTCCGACGGAATCGGCGAACAAGACGTGTCTCGTTGGTACAATGCTCGTGTTGACGAAACGTGAAGGTATAACAGACGCGCGTTGCGCGTTCTCCTATACCCACTATTCTACCGTTCGCGAGTAGAGACAAGCAAAATATTATCGAACAGCGACGCGGTGCGCAGGATTTTGCATAAAGAACACATAATCAACAATGAATAATCTCTTGTTTCTGACAAATTTACGCGGAAGTGTAAAATATACAATTCGGTTCAATTTTTTTTATCACATACATATTTTTGGGGAAAAATTGCACGCAATGTAACAAAAACTTGGCACAGCAAAATTTTGCAGTAATAGGATAGGTAATTGAAAGAGATCGCGGCGGAAGAGATTGAAATTAAAATTTGCCTGTTAATACTTTTGTTTTTAACAATTTTACAGCATTAAATAATGAATATATTCGAAACTTCGAAATAATATGCTACAGATTGCAATTTAGATTATATCTGATTATATCTGATTATATAGTGAGCTATAATATGAAATTTGCGCGCGCGCGCGCGCGAGCGGGATGATCCCTAATGAAATTTTCCAACGTGGTAACCGTGGGGAGAAGTGATTTGAAAGTTACACAGACAGTCGGATCGGGTAGAAATAATAGTTTGCGGTGAATTTATAATTCACGTTAAAGCGCGATTACGCCGCTATCCTCGCCGAGACAGACACTCGTACTCCGTATCCGCGACGACGAATGGGGAACTGGGCGCAAAGTGCCGCGGCAAAGTTCGTTAAAAAAGTTAGCTGACGCGAAATTGAATGCCACATCGTCGTGTTTAAGGACGATGTCGCACGTTTTCACCGCGCGTTGCTTCCCGGTACGCCTTATTACTTCGCATTACCCTTTCCTTATTCCGGCCTCTTTCTCTTCTATTCCAATTTCGTATTATTTCCAAGTTTCTTGCGCGCGCCGCGACAGCTCGCACTCGAGAGAAGAGAAAACGCTACACGAGAGAAGATTTGTCAAGGCACGGCCGTGAATAGTTTAAAACTCGCCTTAATAAACGAACGATACGTCGCGCTTCGTGCAAACTTGCGCAAAGTTCGTTACAACCGTAAGATGTAATTTTCCGGGCGATGCGACGCGGGTTACGACGCGACGGCGAGCGGGGGTGGCTCTGCCGCGCTATATCCGCGCGCGACACACCGACGACGGCTCCGTAACCGCTAATTCCGGACCAAAACTTTTGCTATAAAGGCTTCCTGTGACAGCGACAATTATCCGTGTTACGCACAATAAAGGTGCGTGCTCTGTGTTCCGCAAAGTCCGCGTAATGTTACGCGATTAGTGTTCATTTATTCGACCGTCGACGAAGTCTCTAACAGGCCGAAAAATTCGAGCTATTTGTTATATGTATATATATAACAAATAGAGCTATATATATATATATATATATATATATATATATATATAT